AATGATCGAGTTTACAATATCCTTTTTGAAATTAAACATTTTTTATCACGATTCAAGTATCTTATTAAAAAAAAAATGATATAATTTAAAACATAGAACATAAACTTTCAAGGCAATAACTGGGAGACTTTTCGAATTAACTTGGAATTTAAAAAGATTTTTTGTTTTATTTCTTAGCCAACCAAAATTTTTTTGGATTGGAGTGCAAGTCATTTTTGTTAATTTCAATTATTCGTAGATTCATCATTTTGATTATCCTGTTAAAATTAAATATTGAGTCAAAGAGTTCAGCAGCAGGTTTCTTCGTATATTATTCTTGCATTGCTTTGCTTCTACTTGTCGCATTTATATATCTATATGTATATACCCTTTGCTTTGGCCTTGCATCACACGAATTATGTTAAAAACTTTTATTAAGCAGCTGATTGGATAAAAGTTCACTCTTCTCTTATCCGAGTAAAGCCACAAATGAGCATCGAACACATCAAACAAAGTTGACCACAGTAAAATTGCTGTAAACAATATGAAAACTGAGCAAAACAATTCTAAAAGCTGACTGTAAGCTCGAGAAAAACCACAAATCATTGACTCAACCCATTCTGTGTTTCGGTCAAGAGGGGCCACATACAAATTATTACTACACATACGCCATGTGGGACTTGTGTGGGTCAAGCAAAAAGTTGTTGCTTGTTTGCATTTTATTAAAAGTTGAAATTCGACATGTGGCATAATTGCTTCATGGGTAGTTGTTTAAATAAAAGAATTGTAAAGTTTTTTGCTCAAAATGAAAAAAAATGTGTGAATATTAAAATACGTGCTATATTATTTAATTTAGGAGCATTTAAATGTAGAATTCAGTTTAAGGCGTTTGTTACATGCATTGAAAACATTTTTACTCCATTTACATTCTGAATTCATTCTTTACAAATTTATCTGTCTTAGTCCGCAATTTAAATGAATGCCTTTCTTTGCGATTCTCATGCTAAACAATTAACTGGATTAAATACGTGCTATATTATTTAATTAAGGATCATTTAAAAGTAGAATTCAATTTAAGGCGTTTGTTACATGCATTGAAAACATTTTTACTCCATTTACATTCTGAATTCATTCTTTGCAAATTTCTCTGTTACATTCAAAATCGTTGAAAATAATAAGACCTAGCCCGCAATTTCAATGAATGCCTTTCTTTGCGATTCTCATGCTAAACAATTAACTGGTTTACGTTTATAATTATTAATTATGAATGTTAAAATACGTTCTATATTATTTAATTAAGGATCATTTAAAAGTAGAATTCAGTTTAAGGCGTTTGTTACATGCATTGAAAACATTTTTACTCCATTTACATTCGGAATTAATTCTTTACAAATTTCTCTGTTACATACAAAATCGTTGAAAATAATAAGTCTTAGCCCGCAATTTCAATGAATGCCTTTCTTTGCGATTCTCATGCTAAACAATTAACTGGATTACGTTTATAATTATTATTTATGAATATTAAAATACGTTCTATTTTATTTAATTAAGGATCATTTAAAAGTAGAATTCAATTTAAGGCGTTTGTTAAATGCATGGAAAACAGTTTTACTCCATTTACATTCTGAATTCATTCTTTACAAATTTATCTGTCTTAGCCCGCAATTTCAATGAATGCCTTTCTTTGCGATTCTCATGCTAAACATTTAACTGGATTACGTTTATAATTATTAACTATGAATATTAAAATACGTTCTATATTATTTAATTAAGGATCATTTAAAAGTAGAATTCAATTTAAGCCGTTTGTTACATGCATGGAAAACATTTTTACTCCATTTACATTCTGAATACATTCTTTACAAATTTATCTGTCTTAGTCCGCAATTTAAATGAATGCCTTTCTTTGCGATTCTCATGCTAAACAATTAACTGGATTATATTTAATTAAAAAACCCCCAGCTCTTAATTTAGCCACTTACTGATCATAATTGGCCACAAATTGTGACCAGAAACCATCGAGTATGGCAACCCGTTCGGCACGTATGATATCATATGGTACATCGGCTATATCAATAACCGAGGGTAGCAAAAATGCAATTTTAATTAGCCGAACGTGCGACAAACGCACGTAGAACGCATAACCGCAAGATGGTGCTGCAATTAGGCAACTGGCGATGGGCTGGACTGGACAAGCTCGAACAATTTCCACTGCTGGCAAGCCAGACAGTCAGTCACTCTGCCAGTCAGTCAGTCCGACAGTCAATGCAATGTGCTGCTGGTACGTGCTGCTGCGGCCAAACAAAATTATGTGGCCAACATTTGGTGGTGGCACATTTCGCGGGCAGCTGCTGCTGGAAAGAGAGATCGGGGCCGTTGGGACAACAACAACTGCTGCCAGCTTCGGGTTTATCCGCTGCCAGTCGTTTGTTTTGCAATGCCCAAATGACTTTATCGATTTGCCCAGTACGTTTGTACAATTTGGCGAATTGCATACATTACGAGGCGGCAGAAGCAGATCCACAACTCTCGCGCTGGACAAACCGACCACGCTAACGAGCCTCATTAGTGGCATGCGTGGCAATGTGGCACTGGGAAATGGAAAATGGTGAAAAGTACAGAAATGACATTGGGTGGTCATCGTGCTGTTGACATGTGAGCACAGCGAACGTGATTTCTTATTCGGATACGCCAAATGATGATTACGAAGCGTTCACACGCCGAAGGGTTATTGTGCATCAGTTTTTCGCAGGCTTTTCCAGGCTGTCGTAAGATGAAGGAACTCGTTTGGGCCGTAGATATCTGATATCTTTTACTTGTGTGAATATTCACATTGTTAACGTGTAATTAATAGATGATTTAAAACCACGATTTCTCATACGCATATTTTTCGGCAGACAGGAGGCACCTTTTGGCCTCGTTGACTGAGTTTGAATATTTAGTTTGGAGAACTAGGGTCTTTATACACCTTACTCTTACTCAAGTTTGTTGCAAATTTAGATGATAACTGTTATAAAAGATAAACACTGAAATTCAGCATATGATCTTCCAACAGATCTCTCAGATAGATAATTGAGATGGGTGAGCTTTGGTGTGTGGAGAGAGGAGAGTGTGGTACTTGTACCATCTTTGTATGCATTCTTCGTACCATTATCTAATTATTAGTCCTTTATAAGCAATTATATGCGTTCTGTGTCTCTTGTGCTGCACATTTGCATTAAATTAATCAAATAGCCAAGTAGGCCCAAAAGGCTCTGCCACCAAAAGCTGACCCAAGCAAGGCGCCTAATTAATTGATTGAGGACGTTGTTCGCCTTGTTGTTCTTGTGGCTGCGGCTTTGGCAACGTCATCGTCATCGCCATTGTTGTATTCAATGGTCTCAGTTGCAAACTGTCATAATATTGACTCATTGGTCATGTAATTAATGGTGTCAAGACTCGCACGACATATTAATGCAATTCAATTGATACACAGCATCCGTTTCATTTGCCATTTGCTGCACTCTCCGCTCAGACAGTTGTGTGTACTCGAATATTGATTTCAATTATAATGGAAACCAAACCAACCCAAAATCTCCAACCCCTTTCTCCAACTGCTACCTAGCCACGAGGCATTCACTAATTGCTGTCACTTTGGTCCGGCTTGTGCTGCGCATATTTAATAGCTCTGGTCGCGTAAAAGAAAAGCAAAAAGCGCAGTTGTACCAATCATTCCCATATCCAGATATGGTTGTTTTATTTTTCTTTTTGCTTAAGAGTGTGCTGCCTCGTTAAGCTGTGGCAAGTTCAAGCACGAAGGTAAATTAGGAATCTTAAAAACAAATTTTCTATAGTTCAATTCACAGTATTTTACTATGCCTCCTCCTTTTGGGTTTAACATACAATTCCCTTATGAATGAATGAAAACTTAGTTATTGCCTTAACCCGAATATATATTTAATATTCAATAAGTCGAATGAAGCATCTTCGATCCCATTAAGTATATATTTATTCTTCCTCAGCATCAATACAATACATTAATTTGCACACATACATTAATTTTGTATGTACATCTCGTTAAAATGTATGTACATCTCGGCCCAATAAAAGGTAAAAAGGCTATAAAGTGTATTTATGTTTATGCATGCAAAAATGAACATGAAAACGTTTGCGTTTTCATATTTAATTCACTAATTGCTTACTTGAGCGATGCAATGTTAAATAAAAGGGTAAAATATATTTATATAAGTGCCATTGAATGCACTTGCAGAACAAGTTTAATTCGATAGATTTTTTCGTGGTAGAGAGTTTAATGGTATCATATAGCTATTTGCATACCCTTGCAGAGGGTATTATAATTTTGTCTTGAAATGAATGGAGACATCTCCGACCCCATAAAGTATATGTATTCCTGATCAGCATCAACAGCCGAGTCGATATAGCCAAGTCCGTCTGCACGTCTGTCTGTTTCTATGCGAACTAGTCTCTCAAAGTTTTGAAGCTATCGTAATGAAACTTTGCAGAAGTCCCTCTTTCTGTGGCACGCAGGACATATGTCCACATAAAACCAGCTGGATCGGACGACTATATCATATAGCTGCCATAGAAACGATCGGTCGTAAACTAGGTTTTTGATTAAAAACCTTTTTTGTCAGATATCAAGATATCTTGCTCAAACTGGGCATCAACTATTTTCCCTCTGCTTCTTAGATACGGGCAAAGCACTATAAGCAGTATGAAAAGGTTGGGTCTGTATGGGTATTAGATCTTCGGCGTGCCGTAGTTAGTCTTTTTTTCTTGTTTATCTAACAATTAGTTTTAGTACAAGTTCCTTATATCAAATAATATCTGTAGGTGACATGGTCTAAGCCGCATGACCTTTTACAAACTTAAGATTTGAACTCGGATCAATTGTATGAACTAGAGTCCCTCGTGAGCTTTTATTATATGTCATTTCGTATAAAGATTTATTTGTCTCTCTAAAAAGACTTAGAAAAACAGCTAGATTTTGTTGAATTGGTAGTATCAAACAATAAATTTAGTTATAGGTACTCATCGCTATCCTCATCGCTGTCGTCGGTGCTCTCCTGCATGTTGCCAACCATAGTTTCGGGGCATTTCGGCTTACTAACTGGCATATGCAGGTCATTGTTGGAGGAAATAATATGTTTTTGCGATTGAAACAAGCATTTGTTACGCTTTGGTGTATTTTGACCCGAAGACTTGGCCTTGGGCTTGCCATTATCCCTGTTGCTGCAATGTGGCTTCTCCTTGTCAATGTCATTCTGCATTTCATAGATCCTTAAGGGCTTTCGTTTCACAATGTTTCGTGAATTCAGCTGATTGTGCACTTTCGACTGACTGGGACCCTCGTAAGGACCCTCCTCGCCAAAGCCATCTGGATATATCTTCTCGGGTGGTTCTTGCTCGCGATAGTAATACCTATTGGGTATTTCGGCAAAAGCATCGCTATCATAGGATGTATCACCATCATCCGAGCCAGACTCTTCTTCGGATGCTTGAGAACTTGATTCATAGTCGGTTTTTCTTGAGCCTGCCGTTGTATTTATCTTGCGTTTCGCATATTTAGGACTTTGTGCTCGCTTCACAGACTCGACCATACTTTGCCGCACATTCACCTTGGCAAGTGGAGTTCTTATAGCCTTTTTAAGTGGACTGGTCGTGTGGAGTTTTATTTGTTTACTTGAATTATTCTCGGGTTGATTTTGTGTAAGGAATTTCTTTATTATGCTTGTATTGCCCTCAGGTGGAATATCCTTTACCACAGTTCTGGCTACCGGTAATTTCTTTGTCGGGCTTGCCTGTGGCTTAGTTTCGATACGTTCCACCTTGTCCTTGGGCAATTTATTATCATTCGTCTTGTTGGTCTGCTTCATCAGCATTTGCAGGAGGATGGGCAGATCCTTGTTGTCAAAGTCGTCACCGAATTCGCGCTGCAGCTTTTCACGCGGCTTCTCTTGGCCATTGTCGCCCGTTTCCAGTGCGAATGTCTCCAGGGTATGCTTGTAGCCATACCAGGCGAAATAGTCCACCACCAGGTAGTTGAGCAGCTGCAGCAAGCCCCGTTGCTGCATATCGCCACCACAGAGCGGTTCGTCCCTTCCCAGATCCATTTCTCCACGCATCATTTTAAGGACCTTCACATGCAGTCCGCTGCGCATCTCGTCCAAGATTCCATTTCGTTCGAAATGCAATCTTATGCTATCCTCAATAATCTGTGAATATGAGCTGTTTTCCATTATTGAAATAAAATACACCAATGAAAATTTGTATGGCGACCACGAATTTGATTTATTTGTATTTTACGAGCTAACAGTCTGAACTCAAATTGCTATTTGACCGTATGGAAACCAGTTTGGGCCCATTATGTTATGAATCTTGAAAAAAGGTTTACTCAGTTAGTTAGATTCTCAATTTTTTTGTTCTTTTCGTCTACAAAGTTTAACGGCTAAAGGCTGTAGCTCGTTAATCATGCAGATAACCTTGAGCTGGAGGCTGCATACATTAGCCATTAGCTAAACTTTTGCACATCGCTGCCAAGTTTTCGGATATGTCTGAAGAGTCTTGGTGTCAAAGTGCATTAAACGACGGGCTGAAGTAGTTTAGTGACCGCTTTAAGGGTTAGCCCGATGCTGTGAGAAGTGCATGGAGAGGCCGTTTTTATACGCAGCGTTTATTGGAAAAAGGCTTCTCCGATATTATGTTGCATAAATATACAAATGAAATTGTTATCGATAACTCATACCGTTCTCATGTAACTGTTAAGCTTCATGATTTATAAGAACACAACTATTTGCTTAAAATAGTTAGTAGGAATCTAACTTTAACAACAGGCAGCAAGTGTATCTATAGATTAACAATAATGCCCACTTCGATTTAGATCTGCCAGGATATTCAAAATAAGGTTTTTTTAATATGGCAACATTAGATTAATATATATTTTGTTTTACTTCATAAAATGCAAACAATATTTTCCAAACATGTTTCAAAAAGTTTTCTCCCAACTTCTCCAACTTTCGGAAAGAGAGTAATTTCCGAGTATCAATGCCTAGTTGTACAGACAATGGTAAAAGGTGCTTAATCAAAAATTATTAATGAGATTTTAGGGGGCCCTGAAACATTGACTTTGGACCTCGGGCTCAATCATTCTTTGCCGTACATTAAATTTGTTTTTTCGCTTATTGATAACATTTAAGGAAGCACTTGTTTCAGTTCCATTCAAGTTTTTCACATTCACATTTGTAATATTCTTTGACGGCTTCTTAACTGAAATGGATTTCATAACAGGGTCATAATTGTAATTATAATTTTGCAATTTGTCCACATTTATGGGGCTGTCCTTACTATGAATTTTCTTTATCAATTGATGAATTCCAAGTGAGTTTTTCATTTTCTTTGGGATTTCCTTAGATTGCCGTAAGTTGTTTGCTTCCCCTTGGATTTCCTTAGCCGGCGTAACATTTATCATGGTGAATTGACTCAAAATTTGCTTGGCTGGAATATCTTCAACCACTTGCCTGGAATCTTGTAAGATCTCCACTGTGCCCGAAGAATCCTTGGGTAGAGTATCTTTGTCCCCTGGCTTATTCAGGTTCTTCACTTTGCTTGGGCTTTCCATATCTGAACTATTGCTCTTTACGACGCTGGCGTTATTTTGTATTTCCTTGTTGCTAGTGTTTTCCTCAGCTGGAGCAGGGCATATGGCATCTTTTTCCACCTGTTTGCGTGGCTGTTCTGCTTGACCCGAGACATCTTTTACAGCACGTCGGCGTCCATGTGATTTTTTTAATTTCTTTGGGATAGAAGATGCCTTCTTTGAAATATGCTCCCATTTACTCTCGTTGAGCATCCTGTTATCTTCTTTATTTGTTTCCTTCAGCAGCATTTGTAACAAGATGGGTAGATTCAAGTGGTCGAATTTGCCGTTTAGTTCCCGCTGAAGTTTTTCGCGTGGTTTTGGCCGCGATTTTTCGCCCGTTTCCAGCGCAAATGTTTCGAGAGTATTCCGAAAGCCATGCCAATTAAAATAGTCGACAATCAGATAATTGAGTAGCTGCAGCATTCCACGCTGTTCCAAATTGCTGGCACATGGCGGTTCATCCTTCTCCATTCTTGTCAGCTCGTGCAGCATCTTCATTGCCTGCACATGCAGGCCGCTTCTCATTCTATTCAGATCTTCATTTTGCTCAAAATGTAACCTTATGCTATCCTTAATGAGTTCCGAATATGAGATTTCTTCCATTAGGCTAGAAATTTGTAAAATGACTTGGAATTTAATTGTATTTAAGACAGTACGATCTGAAAGTGAATGCGTTTCAGTTTGTGTGGAATAACCTTGTGAATGTTTTGTGATATTTGGTAAAAGGCTTGCTCGATTACAAAATTAGAGCGAGGTGGCTGGTTCAAACTCCGCAGCAATTGTCAATTTTTGTATTTGTTAATTCAATTTAAAAAATGAATGACAGTCAAGGTAAATGCGTGAGCATATTATATACATGTACCCATATTCTAAATCGGTTCGGACTTGTAGTAGTGAATGCCTTATCTAAAATTTAAATATTTGTAAATTTATAATAATCAAGAGCCATACTTTTCGCAAAGCTTCTCTAGCAAATCTATTGTGGAAACGCAGCGCCCGCTTTTCAGTGCTGGAAAATGCACATTTAGGAGTAACTTAATGAGATGCTGCGCCTAATTAAACTTTGTACACACAACGGTTAAAGGCGCCCAACGATGGTGACTGGCACCAAAGAAGTTGCCGATAATGGCCGACAGAGTGCGCTGTGCGAGCTGGATTTTGCCAGTGTTGGCATTGCCTTTACCTTTACCGTTGCCTTTTGCCTTGTATCAGTTGCAAAATTTATTGCACTTAATGGAATTTAAAAGTTTGTTTACTTGGAGCAAGTTGAAAGCCAAGGTAAAACCCGCCATTTTGCCGCCGTGTGTGTGTGTGTGTGTGTGTGTGTGTGTGTGCCTGCTAACGACAATGCCGTTTAAATGAATTTATGCTTAAGCGATAATCATGCAAATTAATAGTTTCGCAAGGGCTAAAAACAGTATTTGATTTTTTTCACACGCATCGCACAGTAAAATATACAAAACTTTTGGACACAAGTAAAAAAAAAGTTAAGAAAATTAAGCAAACCAGTGAAAGAGCATTGGAAAAACTTTGTGTCAGTGTGCGGGGAAACGGTTTGTAGGTGCGGCTATACGAGTTTTCTCAACAATCGGGCCAAGGAAATATTTAATAACTATTTTCGTTTTTTGTGTGAATAGTTCCCTTTGCTTTTAATTCTCTAATGGAATTGTTAAGAGCTGCAGCTGGTTGATTTATGGCTAGGTCAAAGTTTTTTAAGCAAGGATTAAAAAAGAACAAAACACTGAAAAAATGGCAGCCACATCTGCCTTTAAGTTTAATGCAACTGCTCTTTAAATATTTGTTCAACTAATTAGCAAAAGTGTTGCCAAAAAAAAAAATTCGACTATTGCTCAGAAAATGCTGCGCCATTTCCGGTTTATCTCTACTTTGTACCAAAGCCAATTAGACAAAATGGCTGCGACACATTTCCGCTGGTTGGCCCTCTACAGTGAGCATCATGCGTTTGCCTTAGAAGCGTCCTTTCTAGGAGCATATCAACATGCTGTGAAGGTTGTAACGCACAGTGCACGTATACTTGAATACATAGTTTCTCCGATTATTCCAATATTAACTATATTATATTATAAGTAGGCAGACAATATTCGATAATATTTGTTGAGAAATTTTACATAAAGTCCTGGCAACATGCGTTCTTGCAGTCAATAGACTGTTACCTATTTATTTATTTATTTTCCTTGTGTTTTATTGATTCTTCTTCGTGCCGCATTTATAATCATTTTTGCTCTGGGCTTTTGCAACAAATAACATAGTTTTTAACTTCTTCGTTGATTCTTTAGGCTGTGAACCGAGATTTAGCTTTCTTTTCGATAACAATTTATCGCCTTTAGTCGATGGGAAGTGTATTTAGGTAGTCATGCATTGTCAATAGTTTACCATTTAAGTTGGCTTTGCTGTCGCGTATTGAGCATTGTGCTTGTTGTTATTACCGACATACTTTCGCATTTGCTAATCGCATTAATTATGCGTTGCTTTCAGTTGCTGCTGGCCCTTTCGTCCTGCAGGCAAATGGCCAACAAATTAGACAAAGGCAAATGCAGGCGTAGATACGCAAGAGTGCAGGAGATAGATAGTACAGAGGGAGACAGAGCCTAGGCTTAATTACCTCACTGGGGAATTGAACGCAGCAACAGCAATGCCGTAAACGAACAGAAGATGGCATTCTATTTCATTAATAATCAATTAGTTTTTGAAAATAATTATGAGAGATTTATTAAGTGGTAGGGCATGCAAACTTTTGGTCCATCCTTAACTAACTTTTGACAAATTTCTATTGTATTAATTACCAGCTGCACTTAATCAAGTGAAGTGTGTTTGTGTGAAATTACATACGACATATTGCTTTGGAAACTTGGAAAATACTTATTAAGTAAATACATTTTAAGTGGTTGGGATTCAAATCAGGGCTCTTTTTTAAAGTCAAATTTAATGTATCAGCTTATAATATTAGTCTGTTAAGCTTTACAGCTTTACATTTACTACGAGATGTTAATGACAGTTCCATGTTACTTGTGGGGCCATCAGGTTAAAACACGCTGTTAATAACATTTGCATTTCTTCTTAGTAGTTGTGGGTGTTTGTGCGATATTCACGCGCAAGTATTGATATTTTTATATTAATATAAAAGTCACTTTTTATATGATGCGCTGTTAGTAAGATAGTCTTGCCAACATATGCAATAAAATGTAGCACGAATTAAAACAATTCTTTGCTATGTTTAACCGATGGGCGTATGAAGGAGAGAATTAACAGCTGTTAGAAAATTATGTGCTGCTCTTAACATTTGTAGGTTTTGGTCTTTCAAAAAGAACTGTTAAGTGGACTGCGCTGCATTAATAAGTGGTCTGCTCTGTTAACATTTGTATTTGTATAAGACATTAGAAATAAAATACAAGTTTTCTGATTAAATTAGTTTATCTGTAGTAAAGTATGCTCCTCATTACAATTACCTGTTTTGTTGCATTTACTTAAAACTACCTATGTGCTTTCGAATCGTCTTAATCATGGAGTCTGCCTGCGAATTAGATGATTCACGCAGCAACCCAATCACTTCAGAAATGCCACCTGGCGGTCGTCCACGAAGTGACTTGGTTGCCATTGCATAGAGGACACCAGCGCAAGCGCCACGTTTGCCCTCCCAGTTCTCTGGACTGGGATCAAGTCTGTTCGAGAAACATTTTGTTACATTTATAAATACAGATAGTTTTAATACTCACTTTTCCAGCATATCGAATGCTTTGGCAGCCACCCAAAACTCTTCGCATCTGTAGCACTCATTCGCAATTAGCTGAAGCAAAAGAAAAGCCTCTGCATTTGTGTCCCGTGTAATGAACACATTCCAGGCCAGCTCTGGCTGCGCGCAGTGTATGTGACACTTGGACAGGATCATGCAATAGGTGTGCTGATTCTTTATATCCATATCGCTGATCTGTATCAGCAGCTCCTCTGCTTCCTTGTAGTAGCCCGTTGCACATTTGGCCTGGGCAAAGTTATAGTTGAACACATCATCGTTCACAAAGTAGCTGCGTATGGAGTTCATATACACAAGCACTTCCTCAAACTGTTCGTATAGGAAAAATGCCGAGGCCATGCTCTGACGACCTGGTATCGTATCGCATTCGGTGGCTGAGCTGCCCACAAGATGTAGATTTTGCTGGGCCGTCTTAATGTGCTCCTTCTGCAAATACGAGTATAATTAGTGTGCGCTGCATTTTAGGGGCTTAAGTGGACTTTACTGTGGGCTATAATATTTTTTGCTAGGAAAATAATCGAAAAATAAAATTAAAGAAGTGGAAAATACTATATGGGGGCAATATTACTTATTAGCAAAAAGTTACTTCTTGGAGAGGGGTATTTTATACTAGAACTTACCGAACCCAATTGCTGTCCCAATGCCGCATGGACCACACCCTTGAGTATGTACTCATGCGGCGATGTTGGCTGCAGTTGCTTCATTAAGGCATGCGCCTCCTGCACTTCGCCCTGCTTCAGATAGTATATGGCCAGATTGAGGCGCGCTTCGGGCACAATATTGAGGAGACCAGGCAGCACCCTTAGAGCACCCTCACCGTTGCGAAAAACCACCAAATTGTGGCGTATTAAATCCGCACCAAATGTTCCATTATCGGCAATATTTTTGATCTCTTGCTCGGCGACACGTCCGCTGAAAAGGCGAAAGCGATTGCAGGCCTTCAGATTGATGGCAATGGTGCTGTCGCTGTGCTGGCTGAGATACACATCGAGCACCTCCTGGGACATGTCATAGTAGTCCAGCTTATAGAAGCACAAGGCCAGGTAAACGTTGATGGCCAAATAGTTTTTGTTGTCGACCAGCACCCGCTTGTACACATCGATGGCCTCCTGGTAATGGTCGCGCATGTAATGCATCGAGGCCAGGCTCAGCTGCTGCTCCACGCTGGGTGTGCTGAGCAGCACATCCAACAGTTCCGCCCACTGCTGATCATCGCCCAGCTTGTGGGCGAGATGAAAGAGGAGACGCTGCTTCAGTGGCGTATTCGCAGTGCCCTCCATTAGCTGTTGCGCCTCCTCATAGAGGCCCAAATAGAACATGCAGACGGCCACATTGAGCGACAATTGAGGATCCTTGAGTGCCTGGTATTGGTTTAGAGCCTGTTGATAATCACCCAAATGAAAATTGCAATAGGCAATCCATTGATCGATTTGCTGCTGCTGCTGTTCATTTTTCATAGCCGCTTCCTCGCCCTCCTCGTGCTCATCATTGGCGTACTGGCAGTGAGCGGAAATATAACCAATTGAGATACTTAGAGAAAAGCTGTATTTCCATTTACCTCCAGAAAGGCGCGAGCGCCCGTATAGTCACGCCTGATGATGAAATCCTCCAGTGTTGCCGGCGCTGGTGTTTTTCGCTGTTGCTGTGGCATGCCACCTCCACTGGCCACATGCCGTGAGCTGGCCGAATCCGTTTTGCCACGCGAAAGTATCTGAAGTATGTAACTCAAGGAACTCAAGTATCTCATGCATTTCTAGTATCTTTTACTATTTGCAGCTGCATTTCTTACCATTTTTTTTCTTAGACCGAACTTTGTTGTCTATTGCGTTCTCTGGTTTTTATTTTTCTTTTCTGTTGTCCTCGCTTGGGCGCTTGGTTACCGTTACGATTGCGTTTATGGTTGCTTGGCAACCAACATAGCGTCGATAAAGCAG